AGTCAAGACTTCATATGTATTTTTTTGAAAATATATTATTTTATTTTTTATTAAAATATTTAAGTTCTAACAATTCCTCATTATTTTAATAAAAAACAAAATTTTCTTTTGAGTAAAGATGGATTATTATGCATAATAAAGATAGTTAAGCCTTAAATTTTTATTTAGTGAGTCAACAATGCTTAATTTAAAGTCAATAGTAAATTAAATCTTGAATTATGACCTTTTTAGAAAATACAAGAATCATATCAAACACATAATGATCTAAATGTTAAACTTTTCATACATTTAGCACCTTGTGGTCTTGTGCATGATCCTAGTTTTCATAGATGATTTAGAAAACTGTCCATCAATTTTCATAGAAGCGGTCTTAACTCAACAGTCACATAGATAAAATTTGTCAATGGTGCTCCCATAACTAAGTCACTTCACTCATTGAACTACAAATTTCATTAAGAGTATATAACTCAATCCTTAATTTATTATAGAATAGATGCATCATCACCTTAGGAACGGAACTAGAAATTTTTTCTATTAAATATTGATATATCTTTCAACAATGATTTCTTTATTATTCGTTTTTTCCATTCGAAACTCAATTCTTAGAATTCAAGTTGAGTATTCTCATAATAAGTTCTACATTATTGGATTTGAATCCCATTCTTTTCAATGAGCACTAAACCCTGGACTATGATCATAGTTTTTCCTCAAACTTTTGTTCTTACCAAAAGCCTAATTGGCAGAATAGTGGGTAAGAAAGAGATTTAACTCATTCTTTTTCTAACTTTTTCTTTTTACATCAACTCACATGTCTACTAACTCATAAAATTTGCATTCATATTTTTACTCACTTTTTCAATGGTATCGTGATGCACTATCAATGGAGGTGTTCCCTAGCTCAAGTTCCTCTTATCAGAACCCACAAAGAGTGACTACTGTATAAATAAGTTGTCCACGTATCATTAAGCTTGTTGTCTTCTTTATTAGTACAAGCCTGATGGTGCTCCGTGTCCATGATAGAAGTTGCTTGATTGTCATTTTGCCATATTGTGAGCAGATGAAAGGGCAACCAGGTAAAAGGCGTTGATAAGTTGCATGAAACACCATGGGATAAGCTCAAATGCAACCAAGTTCTGCCACATGGAGGAAGTAGTTAGTGGATGGACTATCGTTAGCCTTGAAATAGAATTTGGATATCTTTTGGGCTACATATATGGATAAGAGTTGGCCTTATAAGTGTATGGGTTCCTTGTGATTATATGGGTTTAAATTATCAATTTGAATTCCATTGCCTATTTTCCCATATATATATATATATATATAT